TATACTATTTATTATGATTGATGCGTTTGAATTTTCAAATGAATGCTTTATACCTTAACATATCAAAAGTTGTTGTCTTGGAACTCACATTCTGTTAAAGGTATATAAGGGCATGTAGAGAATCAGAACAAATGACAAAGATGTCTGATTTCACGAAAAAGGCATTGGAAAAGTATTGCATCCTTGTTACACATTGATTTTGCTTCTTGTTCCTACTTTGTTGCTGCTCTACTTTGATAAGTAGCTTGAGCTATCTAAGATAAGGAGTATGTCTAGGTGAAAGATATTAATTAAAGCATTTAATGCACCAACAAATACTTCCTTTCTCTCTAAATCAGATGAAGGAGTAAGATGAAACAATTCTATTAATCAGACTCAAAAAGCTACAACAATCATCTCTTTTGAAGCTACTATATAAGAAACTTTAGAGCTCAAGAAAACTATTGATAGAGACACAGATAAAATATATAACTCAAGAGTGAACCACAAACATAGAAAATCTTCAAGAGATTTCTTGCACTTAAACTTTTGTTGTAATCACATCTAAAAAAGACGATAGTAACAACCTTGTAATACCTTTATAACCATTGTTATAAGGCAGAGCTTGAAGAGACTTTTCTGAAAAAAATTACTTGGGGTTAAGTCTGAAGAGACTTATTTGTAAAAAGAATACTTGGGTAGTGGCTTGAAAAGGCTAGTCAAAGAACACTTGTGTTGAGTCAAAAGTGGCTTGATGAAAGAATACTTGTAACTTTGTTGAAAGTTAGTTGAAATCAATCTGATTGGATTGATAACTAGACGTAGTCTCGATGGTTGAGGTGAACTAGTATAAAAATTTCTTATGTTTATTGATTACTCTTGCTCATGCTTTGTCTGTTGCAGATACTACTTCATTAACTTGCAAACAAGTGTGAATTTATATATATATATATATATATTATTCAATCCCCTTCTAGTTTCTATCTTTTCTCCATAACTTGCAATTTATGTAATTCAATACACATGCTCTCTCTATAATTGCAATTTCCAGTGTAATTATGTGGTTAGTGTTTCACTCAATTCAAACATTTAACACCATCCAATTTAGTTTGACTTTTCATCTTTCCCTTTTAGAACAATTGTGTAAAAATCATAAGTGTGCAAAAATCACTTAGAACTTTCTTTGACTTCTAACATGGTCAAGCTAACAAAAAATTCATTATTTTTTTGGAAATCAAAAAACACCTATGGTTAAGGAGAACACTTAATTAGTTGTATTCTTTTTGTTTATCATTTTAATTCCTTCCAGATTTTCCCAAAGCACTATTTTCAATTTCAACTTCAACATCTTTCTTCTACTTTTTTATTTGATTTTTTTTTTATATTTTTATTCTTTTAGTAGGAAGGTGCTTACAACTTTATGTTAGTGCTTGGGTCATTATTAACCTTCTTGATATTTTTATGGGTGTAACATACCCACACCATACTTACAATCCTTACTTATGTTGTGGGTATAGTATATGCCCACACCAAACTTAGAACCTTTTTACTTTTTTTTTTAAACTAAATTATTCTCCTTATTCCTAAAGGTGCAAGGTAACAATTTGTGTTTTTTTTATAGGCTTGAATTCTAAAAGTAAAAATTCAATGTTTGACTCAAAGAGGTAGCAAGTGTTAAGAATTAACAAAAATTTTCAGGTTAACTTTTTGGATAGTGACTTAAACAAAATTTAAACTTTTCTTGATCATGTTTCAATACACAAATAACTCACACAATTGCAAGATTTAAGCAAAATCCATTGAACAAAAGAGAGTGAGGACACTCAATCCTCATTATTTGTAAATCTCTCAATGATATGCTTTTTGAAAACATAAATGTTCATGCAAAAATTTCCAATCTCAGAGAAATAAACATAAACATTCAAGTAATTTCACCTTCGCCATTATCAAAAAAATTCTACTTTTACCAAATAGAATAGTTAATTACTAATTAACAATAAATATAATGTTCAATTAATATTTCCATAAATCTCAATTAGAGCCACACATACAACTCAGTCCAAGATTATAAAATAGTTTAAAGATAAAAACAAGTCAAAATGCTAGAAAAAGAAAAAGCAATATAACTTCTAAACTTAAGCTTTGAGTTATCTCAACTTTAACTCTCACTCCATTAAGGCCAAAAATAATAAAACAACATAAAATAATATTTTTAATTACATATATCACAATTATATATAATAAGAAGAAAAAAAAATACAATTTTACAATTTTTAATGATTAATATTGATTTTTGACAGATGCTAATTTATGTTTTTTCTAGTAGTGAAATAAACATAATCTTTGTTAAGACTATATAGAACATGCATATCTTTTAAATAATCTTTTCGATAAGTATTTACATGAGAAAAAGAAATTAACTTTTATATAATTTTAAAATTAATTGATACATATTAAATCTTAATAAAGCTAAATAAAAACATTCAATAAAACTTGAAGTGTATAAGTTGATTTTAATTTATGAAAAAATTTAATGTATTTTTCTTTCTTGTTTTCTTATCTTATATCTTCTTATTGAGAAATTTATCTAACTTGAGTTCAAAATTAAAATTATTTGTAAGTGTCTATTATATATGATTAAAGATATTAAAGTGAGTTGAATTTGACATGTCAACCCACATGTAAAATGGGTTGGGTTGAGTTTGATGATTTAACTATTCAACAAACATAATCGACCAACCCAATAGATCAAGAAATATGCTATTTTGTTACTTTACCCTGTATTTATTTAAATTTTGATAATTTCTAAAATATATTTGAACTAAGATGATTAAGTAAGACTATATTTATGTGATTGTAACAATATGTTTTAATTATTTATATTTATATATTCTGATGAGTTAACTTATGAACCATTTAGTTATTTTGTTATATATATATATATGTTTTTTTTAAGAATATGAGTTTGAGTCAAACTCAACTTGACAATTTAAATTGTAAGGTAATAATTGACTAATTGTCTCTCCCTCTTCCCTCCAAACACATGCCCGTATGCACATATTCACACATATTCTAGTTTAGTCATAACACTAATCAATGTGAGGTCTCCAATGCTACCTCACATCAAAGACCAAACACTTTGAACATAAAGTTTTATAGGATTGGACATTTACAAGTGGTGGTTCAATAATTATTTGAAATGCTCAACAATTGTTATAATAAACTTTGGTACCATCTTAAGGTAGTGCATAGTTTAACTCTGGAAAATTGACTTATAAAAATGAATATATTACTTGAATTTATACATTCTACTTTGGTCATATTACACTAGTGGAAAAATAGGATACTACGTCACCCATTTTACATCGGATATACAAAGAACTGACGTAATAAAAGCGCGGTGGCACGTTTCGTAATTTTCTTAAATTATTTACGTCGGACCTCTAAGATTCCGACGTAAATTTTAACATCTACGTCGGCTGTTCATTGTGTCCGACGTAGATGTTAAAATTTACGTCGGACCCAATTAGGGCCGACGTAAATAACCCACAGGATGCTTAAAAGAAGGTGTCTTGCGCGCAGTAGCTAGTTCAAAAATTTCATGGCTTCCTTCTCCCGCCTCCTCCTCAAATCGTCCACTTTCTTCTATCTATTTTTCTTCCTCATCCCTCCGCCTCCTCCTCAAATCGTGGCTATTTTTCTTCGCGTGATGATGTTTTTCTTCTTCGGAGGGTTGCATTTTTCTTCTTCGGAGGGTTGCGTTTTTCTTCTTCGGAGAGTTGCGTTTTTCTTCTATGAGGTAGTATCTTCTATCAAGTTTGTGTTTTCTGGGATGTTTTTTTTCGTAATAATGTTTCTGTTGCATTTCGCGTAAGTTTTTGAAGCTGGAGAAGTGACCAAGTCTGGGTTGCAGTCCTGGGTCTCTCAAGCAGAACGGGCCGTTCTGCTTGCACTCAATTTTTTTTTTAAATTTTTATAACTTTTTTACGTCGGACCTAGGCATGTTCGACATAAATTTACGTCGGTTTTCGTGCCCCGACGTAAATTTATGTCTCCCGCTTCTACGTCGGAAGTTTTTCTGACGTAAAAACCCCTAAAATGACCAACGTAAAATGGGTATTATGTACTAGTGTTAGTAATCAATATGAGGCCTATAATATTTTTTTTTATTTATTATACATTTTAGTGGGTCTACTTAATCAACAACTTACTATGAGTAAGATTGAGTTAAGATTTTCAACTCAATCTTATAACAAATCCAATCCAACTAAACTCGTTTTTGTACAATTAGGACTAATTGAATTGGATTAATATAGATTTAAATTTGGTTCACCATATTATAAGAGACTAACTCCTTCTGGTATACCCAACTTCCATTGGTAGAATAATATGTTTACCCAACTTCCATTGGTAGAATAATATGTTGTATAAAATTTTTGATATTAATTATAATCTAATTGATCATGTATCAATATAATAATGGGAAGTTTGTTTCTTTTTATAATATTTAATTTAAAATAAATTTTAATTATTTGATAATATAAAAACTTTTGTATTGCAATGCATAAAATTAATAACTAAGATATAATTAAGAGAAATAAAAGAGAAATTAAAATTAAAAATATAATAAATAACTTGATATAAAAAAGAATTTGATCTGTATGCACATTTTTTTTCTTCAATATCAACTACTTAAAATTATATAATTTTAAGATAGTTTTATAAAATATATATTTTTTTATTTTCATAAAAGAGAAAATAATAAATAATATGAAATAAAAGGAACTTAATTGATAAGAACATATCTTTTTTTTACAATATCAGCAAATTAAAAAATATTTTTAAGATAATTTTTATAAAAAAAATAAATATATTATACAGGCCGGTCAAATTTCTATCAACAAACTTGCTATAAAAGCTTGTACATACATATATCATTTATCCTATTAAAAAAAAAAACTGTATAGATAAATTCTTAACACGTCAATAAAACAGTACTCCTCAGAAGAGAACAAAACAAAATCTGAAAAGCATTTTCATGGCCTCCATGTATTCTCCCCAAGTGATTATGACGATGTTGTCGCATACATTGCTAGAGAGAGGGTGTGGAAACTAGAAAGAGAGACAAAGGTCAAACTTTGGCAACACAGACACTATATATTGGCATAGGCATAATCATTTCGTGGCAAGCAAACAACATCAGAGGTTCAGAAAGCCTCCTCGTGATTTTTCATTTCAGAATTATAAAAAGCTTTGTGTGTGCTTTTTGAGATCCATTTCAGTTCCTATCCTTGGTGATTATTATTATTTTTTTTTTCTTTTTGTCATTTGGCTACACAGCAACAGCACCTACCATAAGGTATTATCAGTGACATGTTCGGGAATTTGCAGGACTTCTCCCCTTGTCATGTCCTTTTCTCTCGATATTTTCCCCTTTCACTATGATGATTCTGTGTTCTTTTTTTTTCTGTTTGCTTAGGGGGAAAAGCTGCATGGCATGCTTTTTCCACTGTTGTTTGTTATATATCAAGTGAAGGAGAGATCGTAGCTGTGGAGCACGAATAGGGGATTCTGTGAAGACCCTTTTGGTTTGGAAGGTGGAAAGTAAAGGTCTTTGCAGAGAAGGAAAAATGGGTAGTTGTGGAAGGGAAGGTGTTGTGAGACAGTATATAAGATCAAAAGTCCCTCGTTTAAGATGGACCCCTGAACTCCACCGTTGCTTTGTTTATGCCATTGAGACTCTTGGAGGTCACCACAGTAAGTGCATTATAATGCCCCCAACCCAATTAGTTTCTTTATGCTTTCCTTCATTGTTTTTTTTTTTTTTTTTTTTTT